GAGACCCCAGGGTCAAGAAATTCACAATTTCGGTAAAGCACCTTAAGACCCTTCCATCTATGAAGAGTATTTGATTCTACCATATCTGGGTCTTGAGAAGAAGATTTTTGAAATTTCAGTCAATTCAACCCTTTTTGGCCCCACCCATCAGCCCCTGGGGGTCAGTCAGGGCTCATAGGTGCATACTATCAAACTGCTACCTAATACTGATAATGCTAACCCAAATTGAATTACTTCCAATGGAAATTAAACAAATGTTGGTCCAAAATGTGATTTCCCTATATAAACTATAGTAAAGTTTACCCCCTCCCCAGGGGGAAACGTGAGACCCCAGGGTCATGAAATTCACAATTTTGGTAAAGCACCTTAAGACCCTTCCATCTATGAAGAGTATTTGATTCTACCATATCTGGGTCTTGAGAAGAAGATTTTTGAAATTTTAGTCAATTCAACCCTTTTTGGCCCCGCCCCTCAGGCCCCTGGGGGCTTGGGACTAAAGCGGACACTATTTTTGTTGACCTTTGTCCATGGAAGGTCCCTGCAAAATTTGATTGAAATTGGTTCAGGGGTTTTGGAGAGGAAGTCAAAAATGTAAATTGTTTACGGACGCACGACGGACGACGGACCACGACGGACAAAAGGCGATCGCAATAGGTCACTTGAGACTTTGTCTCAGGTGACCTAAAAACTATAAAGCATATCAATACAGTATCCAGTAAAAAATACCTTTACAGTCTCACTGACTTTTAAGTTGTCTTTTTTTTATCTATTTCATATAACCTTTATGAATTAGTTTGCAGTATACAAGTACATGAACATCCAAAAGGGGACCATTTATTCAAGGATTTGATAGATTTGCTAATTTCATATTGAAGCCTGAACTTTTTATCTTCACCATTACGGTCTGTAATTTGGAAGACATTTACTATATCTTACACAATTTAGTCATGAAGAGCCATTTGATAAATGAGTGAGACAAGTTTGTTTAAAATATTACATTTTGTTCTTTTTAATTCTTCCATTTTATTACCACTGTAAATTGACAGATGTTAACAAAGTCTTGTACTTTTAAGTGGGACACTTCTAAAGGACCATTTGAAATAAAAGGAAAACAGTACTTATATAATCTCAGTTGATGAGTGTATAGAATACAGGGAGGGGTTCCGAATAAATTGTCAACTGAAACAACGGCTTCACAAAACAAGGCTCTGTAGTGTACATTTAACTGCCAATCTGACACACTGATGACACCAAATTCTTCAGTATTTTCAAATTTCTAAAAAATGCATGTCCCTTTTTAATAGTCAAAAGTTGGTCTCAGTCTAATATAAAGTGAGAAGAAAGAAACGAGAAGCATTAAAGCAATGAGGCCTCAAGATAAGTTTTACTTTGTCAGGAGGCACAGCTTAAGGACAAGTCAAGTGGGAATCACACACTGCCAGCAGAAGAACAGACCACATGACAATGTACTGAACTGTCTTCAATCTGGGAGATTAATAAGTTAAGAGGTCAACAGCCATGACAGTCTCAGATGAAGAGGCTCATCCTTAGTAAAGGTACTTACTTGTACATGTAAACACTTGAAACTGAAGACTAAATTAAGTATACTGGGTAATGTATTACTGCTGATGGGAATCAGTAACCCTTTGTACAGGCATAATTGATTGTCTAATATGAATAAGACCGCCCACTCTCTTACATATTAATACCATGTCTATTTAACACAACAGTTATAAGTACAGACCTGCTTTATTTGCAATTTCTGAAATTTTTCAATATCAAATAAAGAAGATAAAATAGAAATGTTTTGGTGAAATTGGTGGTGTTTCAAAAGAAGCAAATAACTCTGGATTCATGTGAGGATCCGTTAAAATGTAGTAAGTCACTACTGAAAAACGGAAATTTGGGGAAAGAACTTTGATATATACACAGGTAAGTAAGATCACATAGCAGAAACCATGCCAGATGCTGTAAAGTGTACAGGCTACTTACTTGATGACTGATATTCTGTAGTATTTATCAAAATGTTTATATATAATGATACAATAGATCATCATATCAACAGGCATTGTTAGAAAGTCATTTATTACAACATTGGTAAATAGCAACACAGCAAATGTATACAAGAGAGATTTACTCCAGAAAGATTTAACTTTCATCAATAAGGTTACAAAACCAGTTAGACATGAAAATCTGAGCAACTCCCTCACTGTCTGTCTCACAGTACCTATAGTGAACCGGATGTTTTCTCCTAGTTTGTGAAAATAAACCTCAATATCATGATACATCATGTAAAATTCATTATCCTGAAAATGGATTCAAGCTTGAAGGCAGACAACTTTACTAAAATGAAGACTGTTGCCAAAATAATAATATTGTCATAATTTTGTACAGCAAGATACCTGCTTTAAAATGAATTTTCTTAAAAGAAAACGAACAAACCTTGTATATTTAACTTCCTGTATAACATTTCAACTCCTTTACAATGGAGAAAGATACTGGACAGAGATTACTAATTACACTGAAACAAAGTGATAATTACCATGAGACATGGCCTTTGTGATGGTAGAAGAGGCACCAACTCTGTACTTCCGGCCATTTTTTAGAACCATCATAGTATCACTGTATTTATCCACACCCTACCATGATCCACACACAAACACTGGATTTACTTATAATAGCCAGCCACTCATCAGTTATATATCGTTACTTTCACCTCTGCCCCATGACCTGCAGTAAAGTGAAGCATTTCCTGAGCTGGAGCGAGCTACAGCAACACTCAGTGGTGTATGATAAAAAGTGTACTGTGTATACATCAGATTTTCTGGTCCATATGCAGTTTTTACCACGCATTCTGATATCACTTTCCGCAACTATTTCATAAACAACAAACAATCAGTAGTCTTTGTTGTGAGCTAAATATGTAGAAGTAGTTGTATATAAAGATGAAAGACATTGTGTAAAATGATATCTTAGAGATAAATAAAGTGTGTTCGATACATGAACACATGACCAAATTTGGTCAACACATATTCAGGAAGGTAATTGTATGAATCCATGGACTATTAAATAAGATATCCCTCAATAACCATCACACAATAGCTCTGATTAAACACAGGATCACAATTTAATATATAAAAAAAAGCCATCACAAAATATTTTCAAAGTGATTTTTCTTGAATCTCATTATCCCTTTCTCCTACCCTTTACAATTTTGGTAAATAACAGAAAAGGTCCAGACTGCCCGATAACATGTTTTAGAATTCACCAGAGTAGGGATCGCTCTCTCTTAACATAAACTGTTCCATCATTTAACCTTGACTAAATATATTTAGTCCAATAATATGTTGTAAATAGTCACCAGAATAGGATATTTCGATTTAACTTCTCCCTTAATATGAATTGTTCACCCTATTTTAACATGAACTGTTAACACTATCTTAACATGAACAGTTCATATCTGAACATAGCTGTTCACCCTATCTTAACATGAACAGTTCACCCTATCCCAACATGAACAGTTCATATCCTAACATAAGCTGTTCACCCTATCTTTACATGAACAATTGACCCAATCTTACATGAACAGTTCAACCTATCTTAAAATGAACACTTCACCCTATCTCAACAATGAACTGTTCATCATATCTTAACATGAAATATTCATCTTATGTTAGCATGACTTTTTCACCTAATCTTAACATGAACTGTATGTTCACCCTACTGCCCAAGTATCACCATTTTACCTTGTCTAGTCTGCCCATTAACATGCTGTAAATAGTCACCAGAGTAGGGAATCGATCTTGCTTAACATTAACTGTTCACTCAATGTATCTCCATTTTACTTTGCATTACCTGTATAATGAAGCATTGATGTGCCCTTCAAAGTATTTCAATATCAGACTTGTATGTCTGTCATATAAGGAAATATTTCACTTGACATTGGTATCCTCAGATGGTTTTTTAGACGGATCTGAAGCTGTCTGAAATACTATGTATCACTTGGCAACTGGTGGAAGGAACACTTTGACCGTCAAACAGAAATGAACATGTCTGACATTCTTTGGTATTCATGATCAGAAACCATCAACCAATCATACCAATCTTAACAAACATCTGTAGCCAACAATCTACTTTTGAACTTAAATTAATTTCAACCAGATTTTGTGATTACTCTTTATCTTTTAAACAGTTGATGTTTGGAAGTCTATGACAGATGCACTGGAATCTGTTTCTCCTAATTTTGTTCAATTAGGGACAGAACAGGTGACAGGTACTTTTGACTGCATACTGCACATCGGTAGAACGAGCTATGCATCCCCAGCAAATATCTTAATATCTTATTTTTCATGAAAAATTGTGCCAACATACAATATCTGGAACTGGGTGAATCACCTCAGCAGGTCAGAATCTGATTAGATAGACGCTTACAATTAACCCCTAGTATAAAGCCTTTATTTACCCTATTTCTCCCTGTTTGTCTTTGGTATCCTACTTCTCCATATCCTAACTGGCATCGGTCATAACACTGAGTGGATGATATTATCCAGCAAGTAACGAGGGATGCCAGGGAAGCTTTATCACTAAGCATTTCACCACAACACTAAGCAAAGCATACCTAAACTCTATGCATGTTTGTACTTATTCTGTATCATTCTTACACAGAACTGAATATGTATGGCAAAATTATTCGTAAAATTATACAATTTATCATAGAAATTAACCAAATAATATTACAATTTTTCATACAAAAAATAGTGACTAAAAATGTTAAAATGAACAAGAAGCAACTACTCTGTTGAAATAAGACCAATGTTATGCAACAGATACTGATACGAGACAACAAGCTTTCCTAACAAATACAGATGACAACTGTAACTGGTCGTACTAGGTGCTACACAGACAGCATATCTAGAACATGATAAGCATGCATCGATTAGAAAATGAACATAAATGGTGAGAAATGAAAAATTCAATTCATGCATGACATTTTTTGAAAAAATAAAGCAAACTAAAATGATAAAGGTTACATAAACAAACTTACTTGACTTCTTTCCTTTCCTCTCCTTTGTGTACTGCTCTTTGAGTTTAGAAATAAGCTGCTGGTCTACGTCCCACTCCTCTATATCCCTCTTCTCTGTGTAATACATACAGAGCCATGTACAGGCCTCTACCGGCACCCTTCCCCACCCTGATCACACAACCCACTTAACAACCAACCACGAACCTATCAAACTGGCCTATACAGGCATGAAAATATATGCCCAATAAGTTGTGGCATCAGGTAGAAGAATACTGTGTTTCCTGTTAAACAGTTCCCTTCAGCTAACATATTTGAGATACTTGTATCAGTTTATATGCAATGCACACATCATCTTATTACACATTATCAAGAAATAAGAAAACTCCTCAAATAAATTAAAGGAAATTAAGATTTTTTCTCTCTCCTGGTCACATGGTTGGAAATATTTTAATGCAGCTTTTCTATAGCATGGCAACATGTTGCTATTCAATTTAATTATATATCCCACCCATGGATATCAAAATAATATCACTTATGTTCCAGGTCATATGTATAAAATATGCAGTGAAAATTACATATTTTGAATCATCATTGTGTTATGTTGGCAGTGTTGTACACATATTTATACTGATCGAGGGGAGGCAAGTCTTACAAATTGATAAAAAGTTTAAGAATATGTTACTTAAATTATCCCTCCCTTGCCAATTTCTGCAGGTAAGATTTTTATGTTGACAAAAAGATATCCTTATAGTTATATCTGCATCATTGCTGTTTTATTTCAAAATTTCTGTTCCTGGTTTTATATGCTAAATCTGATGAAAAGGAACTTTTTGCTGTGTGGGTACGAGAGAAAATTTCTCTTGCATGCATAACTTTCCTAGTGTCTATAATAGATAGTTTTTAACTCTGCCAATATGTGTACCACTATATTTAAATGGAAAAGCCCTAATTTTCTTTATTTAAATCTTTTGGAACATTTACCCTCCACTAAAGGAAAATAATGCTCCCTGCTTTTTGAGGTATCTGTGAAATCTGGACAAATGTTTTGTTGTAAAAATGATTTTTTTGAATCTTACAAAGAAAGTATCAGATTCATAAATGTTTAAGTTAATCGGGAAACGCAGTATTCATTCTATTTGGCCTTCTTGATTCCTGATCCTCAAAGTGACTAATTGGGATGATGACTGACAAGAGTTTATGAACTAGAATTGCAATAAATAATAGTGACCATAAATTATTTTTTTCAAAACAGTATGATTCAGATGTTGAGTGTTTCTAAAAACATTACCATTTATAAACCTCTTGGTAGTGTAACACTGACATGTGAATATATAAACCTGTCTTGAGAAAAAGCTACACGACATTACTTCAAGTCTAAGGATAGGAAAGAAAAATGTGTTTAATTTTTTCAACAAGAGAACACTTAAAAATAGAGTAGAATTTGTTGCCATGGTGATGTGCTCCAAAGAGTTTTGACAATTTTTTACAGAAGTTTTTACAACTTTGTCCCACATCTTTATCACTTTTGTTTAAAAGGAAATTCAATATTATTGAAGCTTTATCAATTACAAGTTATACAAAACCTTTTTTATTTCCTTATTTTTTTTTCAATTTTTGAAAACGCAGTGAAATTAGCTGCACAAAAAGTTCAATCTAAAAAGCTTATAAAGTTGCAATTAATTAATTTCATTTCCCAATTTCTCTTTGCAAAATGGCAACAAATCTGTGTTAGAAATTACTTGTAACTATGAAACTGAACAAACACAGATTCTACAATAACATTACTAGGGGTGGGTGAACACAGTTGACAAGTGCAGTGTTACCTACCCCAGTCTGGGCCATCACCATGACTACGGGCCTCCCCAGCTCCCTCGTCACTCTCGGCCACAAGGAAGTTAAACTCAGCCATAGCCTCTTCTGTTTCTGGGTCGTCGTCATCACGGTCATCTACAAGTCCAGTTAGACCATCCACCTGTAATATAATTATCTTTTTATCAAGACTTTTACAAGCAATTGAACAAAGTTTTCCTGGTTTGTAATCCAGCGAGACCCTTAACCCTTATCAATTAAATATCAACTGTTATCATTAAAATGCTGATTTTGGGATTTAATTTTAAACTTTGATTTGATAAAATAATTTCTCTTTATCCATGTTGCATTTCATTTCAAAAGAAGTTATCCCATAACTTTCATAAATCTCAACGAATATATAGCTTTCATGTTCCAATCCTCCTTCAGAGAGAGAAGAGAGGATTGGGTCTACGCTGATCTTTGAAACTAGATCCGTTACCTTGATATTTGGCCTTTTTGTTGCTAATCTCACTTCATGCTCATCATCTGCTGCCATGCCATCATCATTTTCATCGCTAAAAGAAAAGTATTTTGAATATGCAAATTATTATTACATTCTCTAATATTACTTTCTTTAATAAGATTCATCAGTTTGGAAATATGTAATATCAAAGTTATACTTTATACACAAACAATGTAAATATTAAACATGTCACAATGTTTCAAGGCCAACTGGTCCTTTTGTCGACTCAAGTGTGTATATAATCGATATGCTAAACATCTCAGGTCAAGTGACATATGAACTTAACAGTTGTGTCACATCGTTGTATAGGTAAACAATACAAATCACTCATATCTTGACAAAGGGGCCAATCGGTCTTGCAACACTGCAACACGTTTAATACATACATTGTTTGTATAAAGTAAAATTTTGATATTGTTACATTGAATGCTGTTCGTTCAAATAATCTTCTATCCAATGTACACTGTAGTACTACAGCACTTGAAAAAGAATACAGCAATAATATTAAGGCAATCTTTGTGTTTTGATGCTTTCTTCAAGAATCTGTATCCAGCAAAACTTTGACATACTAAAAATAGTCAAAGTTTAAAAACTTAAAACACATGTACAGGCGTGGCGCTTTATTTATCTCCACTAACCCTCTTAAGCTTTTGATGTTAAACATTTAGGGTAGAAAAAATAAATCACTTTGTTCTCCAGCCCTTATGCATTTATTTGAAAAATGAATATTACCTTAAGCTTGTTTTATCATAATTTGAAGAAAAAAATATGCATCTATTAAAATTTGGGAAACAAAACTTTGTTTGGTTTCTACATAAAATATTTAGACATACACCACAGCTTCAGTATCCCAGATAAATGTATGGTAGAGTCTACAAAAGTTACCTAGGGGTGAAAGGATTAAGGAGTTCTTCAAACCTTTCAAGGTAGGAAAAACATTTATGGAAGGGTGGACATGCATTCTCTGACAAATACAGTAAGGTTTTTTCTACAATCTGAAAACTTTCCCCCAGATTTTTAATAAATAATTATGTAAAAGGGATTCTAAAAACACAAAAGGTTCCAAAAATCTGGTGGCAAAATTAACCCTTAGGCTGCTATACATTGATTTCTATGTAAAGGAACGCCACTGCTGAATTAATTATTGAAATATAAATTAATTTACTTAATTTTTCAAATGCGCATAACTTGAAAAATATTTGTTATATGTGAATAAAAGTTATAGGAAAATTGTTCGTTATTGTCTCTAGTTTATATTAACGTTTTCAATTTGGTAATAAGGGTAAGAAACTTTTAATTAATCGGATTTAAGCACCAGAAAGACCATTTTAAAATTGTTTTTGTCAGCAAATGTGATTGGAAAATGATAACAGAGATTATAAACTTCATTTATGGCATAAGATGCTGTATGTTCATGGAGATTCTCAGGAAAAAGGTCAGGTATTTCATCAAGAATTGCATGCGATTTGCTACAGGTTTCAGGTCGTCATTCAATATATTTATTGTCACATTCGGCATATAGATATATCTTAGCTACAGTCTAGTTTATGATTAAATCATCGATAAATAATTTGAAGAAGTCAATCGGTTCAAAACGTATCAATGTCAATGTTCAATTCGGCCTCACCTGCAGACGACATGTGCGCCTCGGTCCGCCGATATTTTCATGTATGCGTAGGGCACAAAGCCGTTCATTGGAAAGTTACATATTATGTTACACCGAAGTATTTTCACTTCAACCATGTCAAACCCTATAAAACCTTTATTATCATCGTACGTGACGCTGGAGAATAAATGTTTACCATCATATTCATCACTTCAATCTACACGTCCGCCATTTTTATGATGTTTTTTCCGATTTGAAATTCTCTCGCACACTTTGATTATTACTAGGGTACATTGCCGGAAATATTGAAAGTAATGACAAAACAACCAATCAGAAACCTTCTACTATACGCTTTCGGGTTTGGTATAGCAACAGTCCGCTTTCACACTTCCTGTTTGCTGATCAAAAACCTACAGACCGCACGCCACTATTGTGGTGCGTAGCACCGACGCCTGACTTTTCGAAACCACTATTGTGGCGCGTAGCAGCCTAAGGGTTAAGTTGAGGTTTAAAGTTTGTTTATGATGTCTATCTTGTGCCTATTACACATCGGTGTATAATTTCAAATTAAGAGTTATAGCCTGCAGGTAGATATGATACAAATTCTACTACCTGACCTCTATTTTCATAGCATAAACTGAACATCTTCACTGGTCCCAAAATAAAATCTACTAGTAGAAGGCTTCACACTGGTGGAATGGTACATTCCTGTTCATTTGATTGACATCTTAAAATCCCATAAGAAAATTCCATACACACATCTAGATCAACACATTCAGATATTTAATCGTTTAAACTTATTGTCATTTAATTTAAACAAGTAAGGATGGAACAATATATGCCAGTCACACACAATTTAGTACCAAGTTTGACTCATTCTAAATGTTAAATAATTGAAGGAGCAAGATGTTTCTAAATTACAAACTCATTTGAAGCATTTCAGTATTTATATTTAGTACAGTTTGATCAAAATCTGTTATCAAATACATTTACTTAAGGAGTGTTGTCACTTTGTTGGTTGACAAGTTTCGAAATTCCATAACCTTAGCCTTGAACTTGGAACTCTAAAACGAACCCATTTAAGGTATCCTTTTACTTCAACCTTGTCCAAAATGTTATCAAACCCATGAAAAATGAGGTCACTATAGCAATAAGTCCTAACAGTGAATCAGGAAGGGACTGATATGGGTAATGCTAATTAATGCTACCCATAAAATGGCAGGTGGCATAAAATTTGCTGGAGAACCAAGTCATCAATTTTGAGTGGTAAGGGTGTCCACTTGTATTTAAATATATTGTAGATATTTTTCATGAGTAACAGGATTGCTTTTTATGAGGAAGAAATGCAGGCATAGAAGGCAGTACAAGTGAATGGTGAAGAGCAGTACATGCACAGGCATACCTGAGGTTATCATCATCATCATCATCATCCACTACATTTTCTGTGCCTAGAAAGTCTAGGGTAGCTAGGACCGAGGCTTCACTATCCATCAGAGCACCTTCCACAAGGGAAGCTGGCACCTTCTTAGGTGGTCTGATCAAAGAGATAGGAAGCATGCATCAGAGGAAGAGAGACGGACATCTGCACAAATATATCTGTACTAAATGCAAGTATCATACACTATTTCAAAAGCACACCAGTTCAGAACTAATATTCTTAGAAAAAATTGTTATATAATGTACAGTTATGAACAGTTGCAAGTACAAAGGAAAGCTGAAATATGTGTGGGGAGAGTGCACAAAATCAATGAATTCATATTTTAAGAAATAACTCAACTAAATACTTTAAGATCAGGGTGTTTCTGTAACAAATGAATTAATATTTATCAGATATTTAAACAGCCTTTCTGTTAGGACATTCAAATTGTGACATCTACATCTTGGTTATTTTTTGTCACATGGTTTTGGGAAATGGAGCCTGGTATGAAACAGAATACTTTTTTCACATGGTTTTGGGAAATGGACCCAGGTATGAAACAGAACACTTTTTCACTAAATACTTTATTTAAAATTGAATCATAACCATCATAAGAAATAACTTCAATGACAACTTGGTCTATAAAGGTAATGATTCCCAGAGACCTACGATTTTTTCATGGTGATTGTATATCGGCCTACCATTAAGTTGGAAAAATGTTAATAAGAAGTTTATCAAATTGTTTTCATCTGAATGGGGATTGCAGTCATATTTATAATAGCGCACAATCAACAAGATAAATGTTTCTCTGAGATATTATAAGAATAATGGAATTGATGCTACACAGTGCTACAATTTCACATTCATGATATATAATACAGCTGTATGATTGAGAAACTTGCCAGAATTCAATTAAGTAGGAAAAGAATGATTATTGAGAAATGATTAATGTGTAGTATAGAAATTAACGGTGTACTTCAAAGAAAACCGTCAACATATTGTATTAACAGTGTGTATTCAAAGTTTAGGTGGTGTGAATACATTTGCCATGAAACATGCATTTAGTTGTAACAAAGCTCGGGAAGAATACAACATGGAAAATGAAGAAGGATCAATAGCCAGATGAATATCTAAATAGATGTTGCAATAACATGATTTGTGGTCTTCAGAATGATTGCCAGAAATTACAAGGCATTGATTCAACTCCAGACCTATTTAGTGTTAACGGCCATACTTCAAAATCGACCTGTTTATCAGTGTCTGCTAGACTTCTGTACAAGTCAGATAGGACAAAGTGTCATCCACAGTTATGGCATTGCTTGGTAGTATATGGTTAGGGCTATTCATTAATTTATTTTATGGGCGAGGTGGGAGTCACCTGTTCAATATATTATTTATGAGGTATTGGGGATTATTCCAGACTTGCCTTCCATTCCTAATATATAATAATCAGTTTTATATTGATGGGTAGGGCTATTCCATAATCTATCTTATGTGTAGGCTGGGAGTCGACCTGTTTTAATATATTACAGGTGTTGTGGTTTAATTCAGATCTGCCTTCCATTCCTAATATATAATAATCAGTCTATATTGATAGGTAGGGCTATTCCATAATTTATCTGTGTGTGGGCTGGGAGTCGACCTGTTTTAATATATTACAGGTGTTGTGGTTTAATTCAGATCTGCCTTCCATTCCTAATATATAATAATCTGTTTATATTGATAGGTAGGGCTATTCCATATTTTATCTGATGTGTGGGCTGGGAGTCGACCTGTTTTAATATATTACAGGTGTTGTGGTTTAATTCAGATCTGCCTTCCATTCCTAATATATAATAATCTGTTTTATATTGATAGGTAGGCCTAGGGCTATTCCATAATTTATCTTATGTGTGGGCTGGGAGTCGACCTGTTTTAATATATTACAGGTGTTGTGGTTTAATTCAGATCTGCCTTCCATTCCTAATATATAATAATCCGCTTTAATATATAATAGGTGGTTTGGCCTTTGAAACAGTACCTTCAACACCTCCCATGCTATTAATTCTTGAACAGCCTTTAGATAGCTAAACAAATCAAGGTTCCGTTGCTTTAACTTTTGAACTAATTATTAGCCTGATGAATTCAAATTCTCTGCAGGTTTTTGTTTTTTAACTTTAAAACATTTAACAACACTGACCCCTTGCATGAAACATATAAAGGATAATCTTATAGAGAATATTTCATATTTATGTCAGTGATTTAAAAAGCATACATACACCAAACTTAAATACCTTTTTGAGCAAGAATAGAAATGAATGTAGAATTAATAAAATCCTGTAGTTAAAATAATGATCATGGCATGCATTTTTTGGCCTTTGTACCTGGCTTTGCTCTGGTCATTGTTGCGCGAGGCCGCAGGCTCTCCATTAACTAAGGCTGGCTGTGCACCTTCAGCTTCATTCTCCACAGCATTTCCCTGGAGACCCAGTAAGGACCTCACTCGAGCAGATCTAACATTGATGATGGTGTCAGTATAGCCAATCTCCTGTAAATATCTGTAAATACAAATGCACTACGTTGAAATCAATGTTCACATTTATGATCTTGTACCTATGTGTGTAAAACCAATTTCCTTGAACTATCTGATGACTTTCACCAATATTAAAGACATTTTCTATCTGAAAAATATGTATTCATCCGAACTGACTGATATTCCAAAGATAACAACCTTACAAAGAAATAATGTATACAAAACCTTTTATTTACTGCAGTTATTTTATGAGTCTTAAAAGAAATCTGGAAATGTTTCAGCACCAAGAAAAGTTATCAATGAAGTAGAGTATATAACATTAAATATACTTAAATACACATGCATAACTTACTGTCTGAGAAGTTGTCTACCCTGTCGCCAGGACACATTGCTGTTTGGTGTTATCACTTCTCCATCCATACTTTCATCTGTTTAAGAAATTTGAAAATTGGCATTATACTGGGTTACTAATTATATTCATACAATTATTTTTTTTATAATGAAAGCTATGGTACATAGGTAAAACCTTTTTTTCAAACCTTTTGTTTCAATATTCCCCATAACTCAGGTCTGTCATGATTATTTCCTTTTATATCTCAAAAACCTGAAAATTACCTGGAAAATAAGTTATTGAATCATTTTATTCTGAATTATCATAACAGTGACTGAAATTTGGCACAGGTGCAATGCACATAGCAGTAAGCCTTCCAGTTGTGTTTTGTGTAAGTTATTTAGCTCTAATGTCACATGGACACAGGCTATACACACAGATGTAGAATTTGCATTCGTATACATGATAATGTTATATCAAACATTTGTTTTTCTTTATTTATATGAAATCACCATTTACCACATATAGAGAAGTGCACATAACAGAACTGACATTTAAAGGAAACTAGAAGTGAAACAATTTAATCTAACAGTGTCATTCCTTTCCTTTGTATAATCAGTTTAATTATCTTTAGTTTAAAATACTGTATGATCAGTTGATCATCTTTTCAAAACACAAGAGTTTTTTTCAAAGTGTCATAAAATCTTTAAACTAACTTTCTTGAATTTGGTAATCATAAAATCTTTAAACTGACTTTCTTGAATTTGGTAATCATAAAATCTTTAAACTAACTTTCTTGAATTTGGTAAACATTAACATATTCATGAGTGTGGGGACCTTTGAAAAACCTATTTCTCACAAGTCGCAACAGCATTTATCAAAATACATATATATATATATATACTCAAACCTACCACAAACCCAACATTTATGGTGAACCCTGAATTACAAAAATGCAATTCTTTGAGTGGTAACAGTTCACATAAAGGTTATTAATTGTATCTCAATCAGTCACAACATCCCCAACAGATTAATCAGTCATGAGTTATTGGAATCAACGCAAGTTTATTCAATATCTCCAGAAAGAGAACAAATAAAGTAGGAAAATGGGGGAGAAATAATACATACATCTGAATGATTGCGACTCTTAGACACTTTGCAATGAACATAAATTCGAGCCAATATACATGTCAACCAAACCTTATGATTGTCCACCCAACCATTATGACTAGAGCTGTCACGATACACTTACCCACGATACGATACGTATCTCGATATTTGTACCACGATTTGATTATTTCGATTCGATACACCTTTATTTTAAAATATAAACAAAATGTGGTATATAAGCCGTCGATACACGTAAAACCGCAGTGTTTCAACACTTTTTATTGCTTGCTGTAGCATCAGAAATTTTCATTTCCTTACGGCGGTCCGACATTTTGTTATAAATGCTTTGTGAAAATTGCATCCTCGTAGACGATTGGTTGAGGGTTTAGAGATTAGCCAATAAAATTGAACGTCTCACAGATGTTTCGGCTGAAGCGGCAAACACTAATATTCAGATTGTGACGCATCGAAAATCGGGAAAAATATAGCGTGAATCAAATCGAACATAAATAATCGCGGTACAAGTGCATCGCGGTGAATTGTGACACCTCTAGTTACGACACATACCTCATGTCACAAGATTGAGAGCTTATTATCTTAACTAACGACAATCTTTTTTATACAAATTTACACTGATCTACCATTCACCTTTTCTATAAGAGCTTATTCTGTTTTATTACATATGATCACATGCATATTGTACCTTCATTTTTCCTGTCCAGAGATGGAGGTTTGAGGTCATCTTGATTCAAATCTGTGCCATATTTCAACTTGTGATATTTAGCTCTGGAAAAAATTAAACCAACATTTATGATATTCATCACGGTCATAAACTAATTCAAATTTTATGTAGTTAGGTTAATGTAGAATATGCAAGTCAACAAAAGAAAATTTTATTGTCAAAGGGAAATACTATAATATTACATTAACTTATTATTTATTCCATTGATATAATTTGGTTAATTTTCCACACCAGTATATTCACTGTTATAACAATATAAAGCACAAAGGTAGTATTCATGAAAATAGAAACCCTAATACGTATTTACATATGAATGAATACAACATGCAAATAAGATCATTATATAATCATATCTACCTTTCTTGCTTCAGTGCAAATTCCAACATTTTGATTCTGCGAACCAGATCTTGTTTCAAATTTTCCTGTCCCTTTCTTTCTCCTTGAAGAAATGCTATTCTTGCCTGCAAAAAACAAAAATTATCATTATTTTAAAATAAAGAAATTGGTACGGTTTACATTTTTATTTATAATGTTGTCTACTCCAGAAAATCTCCAGTTGTTGACCATGCCAAATAGCCATTACTCATAAATTCCTAGAGACTCGTAGATTCAGGTATGTTCATTCACTCTCCTTTTCACTGGGTGACAAAACTGAATAAAAGAGTAAAAATATGCCAACCTCATTCAAATCACATGACCATCATCCAAAGTGCATTAAAGCTAACAGGTATTATACGGATGAACCAATTTGACAATGACTTCAAATGATAACCAGGATGTTCAAAACAATTAAGGTCTTAGTTGTCCTAACATTTATATTTTTACATGTAAACTCGATGTTTCTGAAGGTGAATTAGAAGAATTACAGTGTATATGCATGACCCCTTCATCTGGGCAATTTCTGCTGTATTAAATCAATGCAAAAATCACTTTCCAAAAGCATGCTTTCTGTAGGCAATATTCCCCCAAAATCAACAAGCACAGGCCCCTGTATGAAATAAGATGAAAATTCTTGTGAATTATTTTTCATTCACTCTTTGTTGCATATTAATTATATAAGAATTTATGTTTATTTAATGTCAACAATTTAAATGTGGTATTAAACTCACAAAATGATAAAGTGGTCTACCTATGACACTTCAAAGCTATTTTTAATTATAATTAGGGAATATCAGATTAATTTCTGAAAGGACCCCGATAGTTCCTCTTCACAATCATTAATATCAATTGTATCTGCATATGAAATCCAACAACATATATTCGATTTTGGTATAAGATGTCATTATTTTACTTTCTGTTGGTCAATATTTCACAAGTCATTACATTTTAAGAGGGAGTCAGGGTAGACATGTTTGATGCTACAAAATTCTCCCCTATCACAATATCAACATTGTGTTAACATAAACTGGGTTCCTACAAAAGAATGCTACCAGTATTTATATTTTTCTGCAGACTGTCAATATGCATACTGACATTGCTGTGTAAACTCCATTCACAACAAAAATGACAATAAACCAATGATCTTAGGGTATTCTTTTCAAATCAATAAATGCTACTGTACATTGTATCTCTTTCTCGCACGTACAATTAAATGGCGATGGGTTCACCCGGGAGAGGCACAAACAACTGTCACAACTCATCCTCTTTTCGGATTAGTGCGAAATGTCAAAATTATTTGGCCGCCATATTGAAATCAAATATGGCGACTGCTGAGACTGAACAATTTTACTGTTGTTGTACCCAAAAACTTTCATTTGATATGCTTATCACTTTAATCGACACACTCTTATAATGTGTAATGTTTATTTCACATAAATTTACGTGCAATATCTCTGTACAATAAAATAGCACGCATTTTCACCTGAAGTTCTGCCCGTTCCACTTCCCACTGTGATCTCTCCATCTCGAATCGAGCCCATTCTGTCTGCAAAAAATGTAAAATTCCAGGCATAGAATACTGCGGCCGCTGCCCCAAATCATCCTGTTGTTGTTTCGTCATCATTCCTATAGCCCCTGACAATGGGCCGACCTGCCCTCCGTGTTGAGACCCAGGACCCTCTTCGATCATCTTACATGGTCGCCATTACAGTTTTTAAACCAACAGATGGCGCTGCAATGAAAATTACGTCAAAGAAATTTTTCACACGGGAGCTTTCTGGAGTTATTCATTCAAATTCACTCTATTGTAAATTCTTAAAGTTGTTCCGAACGAATAATAGATTCCACCCTTTTCCCCACAATAATAAAGGCAAATCACCATTTGGAAATGATTCATACTGTAACCTAATCATTGCATCAATACGATATGTAAGTCCTTTGTTGTTTAATGTTTTCGCAAAATGCACATCATTCATATTTTGTTTGTTTCCGAGGGATATGAGCAACCTTCTTGCACATTGTTTGCTGAGGTGAAAATAGGCCTTGCAAGGGAACATGAGCCTGTCAGTGTCAGTCTGTTACATTATCTTCACATAAGTATCCTACGAAGCTGATATCACGAAAATAAACCCGGTTCATTTCAATTATTTGCCGAAACTAATTGTATATTTAATTTCAGAAAAAGCACGACATCCGAAGTTGTAATTTTCATTAAAATTTATTCATAGTGAAAATTCATGTTCGAGTTCTCTCCCCTCTTATGGTGAAGTTGGGTAGAGTCCCACCCTTTTTTCTATTTCACAGATCATGAAAAGTTATATTTTTGCTAATTTATGTTATTTCCTCCATACTCATATGAAGCAATGAAAGGTTGCATGCCTTTTATGGAGTTTGAATAGTTGATTTTTTTTCTTCTCCCAAATAATATTGATTTTGCAGAAATGGGTGATTATTTTATTGTTGGAAACACAATGGCAGTAATTTTGTAAAAAAAAAAAGTATGATAAAGAAATTTCCTTTATATAACTCTTTACTTTGCTAAAGTAAAAGGGTGAGTAACTTCAAGAAAGCAAAATGGCAAAAATGGAACTCTTGAGAAACGTCATCCTTTTTTTGGTAGAAGTAAAAATCCCAGTTAGTCTGCCGTCACCTAATATAAGTACAATTAACAATAAATGTAATCATGAAACAATTATGACATCATGGACAAATTTCACTTCATAGTGATTCTAAAAGACATGCTATATAAAATGTAAGTAATTGCCAATTTAAGTAATTCACTGTGTGTGTCCTTAACTTTGACATAAATATATTCAATCAATATAACCACATAACATAATTAGATAATTCTATTTTTTATATGAATTATAGTTATATTACATTTCTAAGTAAAAGTATGTACTAAATCATACCCTTGAATCTTAAACAGATTATATGTCCTATAACTAACTGAAGAAAGGACTATGTATGGTTTGGGCCTTTTTTGGCCCCAAAATCCATCAAAATTAAAGATCTACAATAGAACTTTCAAACGAATGTTTCTTATTTTGAATACTTCCCCAGTACTATTATGTAAATATTTATTTGTGTTTTTAATTTTAGCTGCCATGGTAACCAGGCCATATTTGCATAAATTATTGAAATTTGATTATTCAGTCAATTTTGACAGGTTTTCACCTAGTTTTTCTCTTAGCTACCATAGAGTGCACTCTTGAACAAGCTTTATATTTCTCCTAAATATGTATTACAGGTGCCTACACATTATCCTTTGATATTAAGTTTGTTCAAGCATGTGTTCTATAGTTTCTAGGAGAAAAACTATGCAAAATATCACAATTAATATGCACTGAATATTCAAATTTTTCTAATTTATGCAAATTTGAACTTGTTACCATGGCAACAATAATTAGAAATATAGATAAATATTTTCATAATAGTATTTGGGAAGTATTCGAAATTAAAGAAACAGTAATTTTAAAGTTCATTTAAAGGTTTTGAATTTTGATGCATTTGGGGGCCAAAACAGGCCCAAACCATACATAGTCCTTTATTACATCACTCCAAACTACATTTGTCTGTATTTACTTTGTTGTTTGAGAAACTGCAACGTCGTACCATAATTTCAAACTACTTCTTTTTTTTGTCGCCCTATATTTATATTTTCAGATAAATGCAGTCTAAGAAATGTAAACTGGGGTGAAGGATAAAGATAAGCATCATCTTCAAAGATATAATGAAGTTCGTTTTGGTGGGAAACCGAATGGGAAAACTTCGGTTGTGCCGATTCTTTGGCAGTGACAGCCTGAAGTCACGGTCTATAAAAGAACAAGACGTGATAAGGTTGTGCTTGAAAGATCAGAAACAGGTATGGGAGAATTAATTTACATCCACCTTTTGTTTACACCTTTCAATTTAAGCCGTTTTCTGGTCAGAAGTTAATTGATTAATATATCTAAGCATTTCCACAATTCATACCAACTTAATGTAATTAGAATTTTTCTTTTAAAATAAGTTTTGTTCTGAAACAGATTTCATTTGTCATAAGTATTTCAGATGAATGTAGTACGTTCTCATGTAAAGGAAAGCCATACATTTTTTTACCATTGTAAATGATCAATTGTTTAACTGCTCTTTCCCTTAAATTGAATGATTGCTTTACTTAATTGTTGGTTTTAGGAGGGGTTTGTCGAATACCAAGATACTATGCTGATTTATAGACTCTACACAAATCTTATCTTTATTGCTGGCACATCATTGACTGAGGTAATGACTTTATCCTAAACCGAACTAAATACTAATAAGTCATGGAAACATATATGTATTGTTCTCACACAATTGTCAGCTAGTGTTCTCATTAAAAGCTGGTTGCCGGCAAAAATAGCCTGCTCTTCATCAATTAAACCATCTGTTTATTCAGAATACACATACTGGGGGGGGGGGGACATATATATATATATAGGATATATAGGTCAAATTGTGAGATTTCAACTTGCTGTTCTTTTCAAGTCAACCAACTTAGCGAGAACACTGATTGTTCTTCTAGCTATTTGATTAGCACTGATATTAATACTAGGCCTCCTCTAACACAATATTATATCAAAATTATCTCAATGTCTGAATTAAGCTACATATATTATGGTAGCTACCAGCCAATCTGCCATTTTGTCTTCCCACTCTTGTCTATCACCTCAGCCCTATCACCTTACCATTTTCAAACTTTCTTCCCCTCAATCCTATCCTGTCCAATGTATCCCTTTCAGTCCTTGCCTCTTTGCCTTTTTCTCCTCCACACCAAATACATTGAACTGGATGAGTATTTCTATTTCAACATTTTTTTGACAAGAACATTGGTTAAATGTCCAAAGGATTGGACAACAGACTCAAAAATGGATGAGTATATATGTGATACTAAATCATAGTGTTGGAACATGGTGATAGAATGTATATTTCACTAAGTATTTTTTTCTTTTGTAAAGAAAAGAAAAATAATTTTAAAAAAATACAACAGAGTTCTGAAATAACATGGTATAATAACCTTATTTTATAAAAGATGGAAGTATTTTACAAAATGTACACATGCTTTTGTACTTTTTGTTGCAGAATGAACTAGCGGTGATGGAAGTCCTACAGAATTTTGTTGAAACAGTCATCAAGTATTTCGAACAAGTTGTGAGTACAACAAGAAAATATTCCTTCTGACGAAACACTTAATTATTTTGTATTAAAACATGAATTCAATTTGATAGTATGATGTTTATGTACTGTTCCATTTTATACCCCCAACAAAATATAGAGTATGTCAAGGTCAAGGTCCTCCTAACTGACTTTTGAATGACTGAATATTATTTCACTTACTACGATAATTAAGTAAGTCATATACTTAACACATGATCTGTACCACTTTGGACAATACTACTTCAAAAATGTCTATATTACCACTAAACATTATATGGTGAAACTTCACCATAGTTATGTGTATTTTAATTAGAAAGCATATTTAGGTGTTTAATATATGAACTACCTGTCATAATTGTATCAATTGTACAGTGTCTATGTATATCATCTGATAAAACAAAATATCATACCGTATATTACCCCTGTTATTGCAAGTGATGTTGAAAGATGTAAATGTCATAACGACATAATGATAATTTATTCTAATTGAGTTGCCTTTTCTTGTTTCAGTCAGAGGAGGATGTATCCTTTTTAACATAATTGTACTATTTTGTTTTCTACATATGATACTAAAAAATGGTGCTTTTTGGCAACTTATAATTGTGTTCATAAGGACAGTTGGACAAAATAGCTTTAAAATATGGTTTCACCGAGGATAACTTACCATATTTAATAACGAGTATGCATTAATTCCCAAGGAGATTTAATTGTGTTTTTGACCTGGCAAATATTTGATGAAAATGTATCATAAAGAGCGCTCTATGTCTGATAATTTCATTTTGCCATTCAAAGTTTCAGCATTATATTGTTTAAATAGAAAAGAAAAAAGGGATAAAGCTCTTCACAGTTTCATTGAATTCTTGCTGGCACATTCAGATCATTCCAGGTAATACTGTTGTAATATTGTATATTTTTTCTTAACCTCCCAGTTTGTATATAATATGGACAAGATCCACATGATCCTTGATGAAATGGTGGTTTCTGGAGAAATAGCAGAGACCAATAAATCAAGAGCACTGCTCCCTCTCCAGCTTATGGATGCCACCAGGAGATAGTGTTCACCAAGATCCATTTGTGTAAGATCTTAATTCCCATGTCAGATCTCTGCCTAAACCAATAGAAATAAGCTGTTTCTGGAGGAGTGTGACCTCACACAGCTATAGCTGCTAAAACCATCTAAAAGAAGCATGGTATCACAGATTCATAGAGTTGAAGCCATTCCAGGAGAGTTATGACCTCAGAGATGTAAAACTATTGAAGAAGAGTCTAGGTTTAACAAAGAATAGCTATTTCAGGAGAGATGTGACCTCACACACATTTTACATGAAGCATTCCTGTACTAAGGGTATTGAATTTGAAGAAAAAAAGTGTGAGACTTGACACAAGGTGCAAAGAGCGTGACCAAATAAGGAAAATTGATGTTAATCTTTAAAAGCTTTGAAAGACTGCTCCTTCATATAGGTTACCAGAGTTTGACTTGGTATTAAGTATCCCTGGGCAAGGGGAATTGGGTTTTATTTAGATCATTGAAGTCTGCAGAAGACAGATGATTACCAACTAAGAGCCCAATAGAGGAAAAGAATATTATTTCCAAAAACACTACTTTTGAATGAAATGAATTCTATTTTGAATAAATAAAGATGGTGATTATCACCCGTCTGCCTCTGAGGTACAAGGATTGGGCCAAATAGAGGAAATAAGGATTTATCATCAAGAGACAATTGAAAAATATGACGAAATATTTTGATTTTATTTGCTATGACATATCCCATGTCCAAAATAAATCAATGTTATGTTGGGCCCATCCTCCCATCCGGGGCATAAGTTTTTAAAGTTTTTTAATGAACACTTCTGAAGAATAGGTTGACATGTTTTAACTTTTCCATATAGAATTACAGGAAAATGCACAATCATATTGCTGAATTATTTGATACATGTACTAGCACATTTTCAGCTTTTAGATTTAATTTGTTCGTTAGGAATACATATCAGGACCCAGTTGTTCAAAAGGTGATTACCTTAATCAGTGTTAAGTGCAAATTTTATTTTTTTGTGTTTTTTAGCCGAGTATTTTTAAAACTCAGCCACAATATGAGTTCAAAAGTTCCAGATAGAAAATATTTAGTAGAGTAAAATTAGATGCAAAATTACAGGTTTTTACCTTGTATAATGACAAAAATATTAGAGGTTGAAAATGTCGTTAAACAGTGAATAAGTATAATGACCTGTTCTCTTGTTGTTTGTGTATTGTGTAGATACCTGTATGTATACCGTGATGATGACCGTGAAACTGGAGAAAAATCTAACTATATCACTTATATTTCCCAGTCACTTAACTTTGCTCATTCACGTTTCACTCATGTGTACTCTATAACTAATTGTAAGCATAATGAATGAGTTTGTGATTGATACTTTGACAGAATTATGGTATTATTGAATTTCGTCTTGAAATTAAAAGTCTGACTATGCCGTTTCTTCTTGAGAAAGTTGTATGTTCATCAGAGAAAGTTTCTTGGTGTGTGTTAAAAATTGGATAATTGAGAACTTGTGACAAAAATGTTGAGTTTCATTTTTAAGATTTAAACCATTTGTCTTGTTATGTCCTCTAGAAGTTATCTCCCTTAGAACTGGTGCTTGTGTTTAAACCAAATGAAAATGATTTTGTGTGACACTAAAAAGAACCGTCTGGCTTAAGATTTATCAGACAAGGTCTTTGAATGGGGACACGAGACACGAGACACTCGCCGTAACCTTCAAACCTGGTGTTGAAATAGGACTTTATGTGAAATGTGTATTCTGTTATAGGTTATTTGGCCTACCAGTGTTGAACACGTTTCATGTAGTTAGTTCAAGGTGCACAAACATTGTCATTTGCCACTTGTACCTGTTTTAAGCGGTTTGAATGTTTTGCACATATTTGTTTCCCTGATTACTGACTGACCTTGGATACAATTATCTTGATCAGTTGTTGCCAAATCATGCTGTAATGTTTAAGGTTTATTTAATGCATTTAATTTATGATGTTGACAGTATTACTACCAATCTGTTTCAGATCATCCATACACTGAAACAGAGTATCTTCGACATTTAGAAAACAATATTATCCCTGACACATACAAACACACATACTCCTAAATCATTGACAGATTTAAATGTACTTATAATGGAGTTTTCAATTTCTACTGAAAGAATAATAATAAAAAAGAACTGTTGACATTAAACATTTATTTAATTATCCAACAAATTGACTGGGATCGAGAACATCAAATTTCATTCCGTTTCCAAGTGATCCTGATGTACTTCCAGCACTTACTCCACTCGTAAACTTTGACGGATCTGTCATACTGGAAGAGGCCATCATTTGCTGATTAAGTTGATTTGGATCAAAGCTAGCAGAACCACCACTGCCACTGCCAGATCCACCACTGCTGCTTCCAGAACTGCTGCTACTTCCACTACTACTTGACCCGCCTCCACTGGACGAAGAACCACCTCCCATCATGTTGTTTGGCGACATCATTTGACTTGACCCGCCACTTGGACTTGATGAACTTCCACTTGATCCACTGCTGCTGCCCCCACTGTTGGACGCAGAACCACCACCCATCATGTTACTAGGTGACATCATCTGACTTGAACCACTTCCAGATGAAGATCCTCCCGTAGATTGGGAACTTCCTCCACTTCCTCCACTTCCTCCCATCATCTGGCTTGAACTACCTCCGGATGAGCTGGAAGGTCCTCCCATAGATGAAGAACTTCCACCTCCACCCATCATATTGCTTGGTGACATCATTTGACTGGAACTGCCCCCTGATGATCCGCCACTCGAACTTGGAGATCCACCGCTGCTTCCCATATTTTGCAGGAATTGACTTGGATCGATTTTGTTTTTATCGGGACTGTTAATAGCATTCGGATCAAAACTTCCAGAACTACTGCTGCTACCTCCGCCAGAGCCGCTACTACTGCTCCCACTACTTCCAGAACTACCTCCCGTCATGCTGCTTGGCGACATCATCTGATCTGATCCACCTCCTGATGAACTTGAAGATCCTCCCATAGATGATGAACTTCCACCTCCACCCATTGTATTGCTTGGTGACATCATTTGGCTAGAACTACCTCCTGATCCGCTTCCGCCAGACATTGAAGACATTTGCTGCTGCATATTTTGAATATTTTGCTGAAGCATATTGTTGTTCATCGATGTTGGATCAAAGCTGCTACTGCTGCCCCCACTTGCGCTACTTCCACTGCTACTGCTGCTTCCACTGTTACTACTTGGTTGTGTCTGTTGCGTCATTTGGTTGTTTAAAGCATTAGGATTGAAGCTGCCTGTACTTGATCCTGAACTGGAACTGCTTGAAGAGGGCTGATTTCCACCACTACTAGCGCCTCCACTGTTCATGTTTTGTTGAGCTTGCTGCATCATTTGGTTGTTCAGAGCATTAGGATCAAAGCTGCTCGAACTTCCACTAGATCCTGAACTGGATCCACTCGAGGAAGACTGACTTCCACTACTGCTCCCACCTCCATTGTTCATGTTTTGTTGTGCCTGTTGCATCATTTGATTATTAAGTGAGTTTGGATCAAAACTGCCCATCGATGAAGCGCTAGAAGAACTTGATGAAGAACCTGACATCATTTGGTTAGGATTGAAGCTGTTACTAGACCCCCCAGCACTGCTACCGGAACTGCTTCCTGATGATGAACTGCTAGAACTCGAAGATGGACTCTTTGAACCACCTGATTGCATGAACTGTTGAGCTTGTTGCATTTGTTGCTGGAAAAGAGCATTTGGGTCGAAACTTCCGGAAATGCTCCCACTGTTCGCGCCCGACTGTGAAGATCCACTACTACCACCGGAAGGGCTTGCGGGGTTACTTCCCCCTGGAGATGCTACATTGTTTGAACTCCCTGTCAGAAACGACTGAGCTGCCTGAGATTGCTGTTGATAGATGGCGTTGGGGTCGAACGAAGCCCGTTTGAACGCTGAAATAAAAATGCATATTAGATTTCTTAAGTAGTAATATGGGTGACAAAATAGGAAAGACCAAGAATAGTTAACGACAATTTAACATCTACGAGAAGCAGAAAGTAATACGAAATCCCTTTTTTTATTAGTCTAATGCATTTCGTATTTTTTATTGTCTTTGCATCAAACAATATTTAATTCACACTCAGCCATATAAAACTAGTCTTAACTTTCTCGTAGTAGGTCATAAACCATGTGAGAAGATGTTACGTGAGCAAATTGCAAAACACCGTCAATACAATAATTGCCATATTGGCGAGTAATCCCAATAATTCGACTAAATACTGTACACAGGTATATAATTATATAAGATTATCCGAAAGATAACGGAAAACGTATGTTTAGCCAGGTAAAGGACCCGGAACAATTATATTTATTTAGGAGAGAAAATATTTTGATTTTCTGAAGACCAGTTATATTAACTGTCATTTTCCTACACAAATAAAAGACGCTGATCAACTGTTAATGATTCCTTAGATAGCTGTTATATCTTTCGAATGTTTCTTAACTTTATGTGACTCTCTATAGTTACTGTTTAGTGCACTACGTTAACCCTAATTATTCATTACATACCAGTAGGGCATTTCACATAATTTGTGAAAAGAAGCACTGGTTAACCTATGCTAAATGAACTGTGGTGGGTTGTCTGTTGCTATAAATCACGGCAGTGGCGTGTAGGGTTTAAAGGATGGGTAGTGCTGGTAGTATTTAATCCATAATTATGTTGTTGATTGAAGGATATCGCACCATATGATCCGATAATTCCAAATGACGTCGTATATCCAATGACACATAATGATACAATTTAAATATTTTGAGTAAAAATCCTCAATAGGCAATCGTATTAAAAACTTAGATTTCATAAAGTACTCTTTTAAGCTACTACTTGTGTTCTGTTAATCGCTGGGAAGGTGCACGTGGAATTTGATTTACAATTAATAAGATATTATTTATGGAGGTATGTAAACAAACAGCTTAATAGGCTAGTGACATATCAATGTTTAGATTATGATTCTGCCAGCGTCGAAACTATTGTGCGTAATATACTTATTGTCACACTAAGTGGTATGATCTTGATTGTGTGAGGTTTTAAACCCTTAATATAAGTTGATATAGTATACAATAGCTAACCTTGAATGAAAACAACAAGGAATCAAATATAAGTAAATGAACATAGCAACAAAAAGAAGGCGAAGGCAGTGTGGACCACGTCATCAAATCTCCTTACCAAAGACGAAATACAACAAATAGGAAATCACCTTGCCAAGGACGAATAACTGCAAATATGATGTCACCTTACCAAGGACTAAGCACAACAAATAAAAAATCACTTTATCAAGATAGAATAACTGGAAAAAATAAATCACCTTACAAAAGGAGAAAGCACAACAAACAGGACTACAACATATCATAATCAAGGACAAAGCACGACAAATGGAACAATAATCTATCGCGGACAAAGCACGACAAATGGGACAATAACCTAGCAAGGACAAAGCACGGCAAATAGGAAAGCAACACAGACACATGATATACTAAAACAATGTAAGGAACATGCAAAAATAAATAGGAAGACAAAGTAAGGAAGGAGAAGCAACAAGGAACAGGAAAAGATAGTATAATCTAAGGAGAAACAAAACATAAATTTGAACATAATGACAATATAAGCCAAACATATAACCCAGTAATACATAAATATGAAACGAGAGCAATATCTTTTGGTTTTATAGCGGTTGGTATGATATTGTATAAATATTAATATTTATGATTACCTGGGAGTGCATTGCAGCATGCTATGCACATGAATGCTATACAAAGAAGCATGTTTGTGGCCGCTGATGGACGTCGGGCTTGTGTGTAGAATGGTGCTAGTGGACGACTCTATTGTCGAGGTCACCTCTCAGGTCAGACCTTTATCTCTCGGACATGCTGTCGTATAATCACCCAAAATGTGTGGCTAATCAATTAGATGGCACAACATCTGCTCCCCATCTATCGTTATGCCGTAATGGCATGACTTTAGTTTATCGTCACCATGCAAGTTCGATAGAGACACATCAAGCAACAGCCATTGCAAAATGTCTTCATATCCCAAACAGAATCATTTATTTTGTGCTTGACGATTGTACGTACAACAAAGCTAAAATACATAAACAAGTAGTTGTATCCACTGCTTGTAGAAATAAAATCTATTTTTATGATTGTAAATTATATCAATGATATACTAAAGAAATTACTTGACAATGTCTCAAACTTTTTTTTAGCTAAGGCGTTAGCCGCCAGCTATTGGTATTACTTTAGTTAATGAGCTCAGATATTCATAAATGTCGATTTCACACAGACGGCCTCTAGCGGTAGTCACTGGTACTAAATTGAATCATATACCGGACCTACTGTCTTTATTATGCGTAACTTTGGACTCAAATGCACTTGAATGGCTTGTAAATATCATTACTTTTCTTTATAGAACATATGATCTTATCACAACGTCGTATTCTTATTGAAAATGCACCCTGTTTATCTCAATCGGGAACTGCTACTTGAATGTAGGTCATGCATGCTACACGCAACTTCCGGTAAAAATACTTCAGTTAATGAGCTCAGATATTCATAAACGAGACATAACGTCACCTTCTAGTAATACTAAACAAACTGCAAATAAAATCCATTACCACGGACTCAAGTTCACTCAAACGTCATTGGATATAATCTTATTCTTAGTTAGAACTAAGTATCCTTCTAAAACTTCGTATTTACTCTTGGAACTGTCGCTGGATTAACCCTTTACACGGAAATATTGTCCTGTGATTGGCTAAAATTGGTGACATTTACGTCCCTGTTTACAATTATATATTGCGTGGTCAGAGCTATGAAGCGGTCCTGTTCCAACTAACTGAGGATAATCAAAAGTGCTAATCAGTAATAATATATCTGATTCACGCTTCATATGATTATAATGTTATCAAAATATTGCATATTCGTTCATCGTTAAAATAACAAATCCTTACTAAAAACTCTAAAAAAAGAAACGACGGCCATGTTAGATCACGCGTGATGTTATCCGTTTCCTTATATGGCCTTCACGGCCAAATATAGTATTACTACTGATGCGGTCATGTTTACTACAATTTCCATATTTGGTCATGACACCCATATTTAGACGTCTGACCTATATCGGAAAGATTGAGGAAGTTTCCAACATGGCAGTCAATTAGGATTTCGCTTGCACTTGTTACGTAAACTTGATAATTTAACGAAATATAAGGCGGAGTATAACTTACAATTATGTAGGAGATCAACATAAAAAGTTCATATTACAAACCTATTAATGGATACGGATCCTGTCAATTAATTCTAAAATCGCCTCCGTGTGATTCACACCAGGCTTGCCTAACTAAAATGGGATCAACCGGCCGGGGCAGATGAGACCGGGAATCATGTTAGAACTAGCCACTGTCCTTCTCTAGTTCCATATTGGTATTCTAACCTGAAGGCTTTTTTTACCTTCGCAGTATTATCATTTTGTTCTATTTTCATCATAAGATATGCTATTGCATTTTTATATCGCCTTCTCGCTAATTACAGCTCAGCCAGAAACGAAAATATGCTCCGATAGGCCTACATTTTATATGTCTGTTGGTGTGATTTGTGTTTTTCGTTTATTGAAGTATTACCATATAACAGGACTCTTTTATTTCAATATACACAAAAACAACAACACCTTCGGAATGATTTCAGACATATACTGCGGGAAAACACGAGTGATCTCCCTTACATTTAGACATGCGCACATTTTACTTTCGTTTTGTGTAGGCCTAGACATCATTCGCAACGCGAAGCGGAAAAGACGAAAATGCAGGCGAGTGTTGACTTAATGTTAGGCATGTTGTTTAAGCAGCATTGACAATGAACAATATACATACACTTCTGCAACGTTTACCTACTACTGATTCATAAATAAGGCTATGTATCCCGATTTCGGTGACTTGTGGCCAAGCATGCGGCCGAAGCCGCAGAGAATGGCGCATGTTGTCAGCGGCGATGACAAAAAGGAAGGTGCTTCTACGGTATGTATAGCAGTTATTATGCAAAAACAAACATAATAAACGGACGTTTTACTCTAGTGAATTACAGCGTCACGAGGAACGTCTTTCTCCAGACGTGTTGCAAAATTTTCGAACTGCTTAGTTGCAAACTGATTTCACTTAAGCGTTGTTTGTGAGGATATTTGGCCTTACATTTCTTCTCATTCAGTTAAAAAAAAACATGTTATAAACATTGTATTATTAGATTCATTGTGATGTTGGCTTTCATTGAAGTTTCAATTGTTATACTACTTGATGTTTTGGAAACTTAAACAAGTATAGTAGTTCTAAATATTATGAAATGACAGAAACATTAGGCCAAACAAATTACTTGTGTTTCTACTATCAGAAAAAAATAGGGTAGGTATGTATTAGCTAGGCATTTTATTGTTAATTTGAAAAATATCTTTACTGCGCTAATATAGAGCAGGAGTTCTGACTTTAACAGTGCATATAAAAACTTAAGGGTATTGTAGAACACAAATCTGAGATAAGTCTGGTTAACCACACTGGTGTCGAACACACCAATAAGTATAGTGTGTATAATATATCATAGTTTATACACATCATATTACTATTAGTGTGTCCAGTATCTGTGGGGTTAGCATAAACTCAATATTTGTTTTAAACTTTTAATTGGCCTTATATAATGATCATTTATAGGTCAGACAGGGTTTGGTTTCCAATTCGGAAACTAGACCTGTTAAAACAGTTATCATTTGTAATTTAGAGATTAAATATTTCTAAGCAGAAAAAAATGAACTATAAATATTTTTCAACCTTTTCTGAGTTGTACAATTTTAGAGTATCTTCTGTCTGAAATCTGAACATAACTTGTTTTATGATAAATGTGTAAAACAATTCCTCATACTGGGGTAAAGTTTTTCTATATATAGTCCCAAAAACTACAGATAAAATCCTTGAGCACGTACAAGATACAAAAATATATATTTTACGTCCATTTTGCAAAACATACAACATAAGCTACAAAGACAAAACATGAGTATAATAACAGAGACCAAAATATTACAACATGGAAAAATAAAATAAAAACATGTATGTACATGTAGTATACTGTAAGCTCAGAAAAAGAGTTTATCACTTGGAAAGCACTTAATAGGCACATTGAACACGGTAAGCACATCAGCACATGGTAATTTAAGCACATTTAGAACATTTGCATACAGCACATAAAAAACAAAACCATAACATGGAAAGCTTATTAGCACATAGTAGGCACATTTGCACATTGTAAGCAAAATAAAGGAGTGCAATGGACATCTCCATGTTTCCTGGTTAATTTCTTCTTTATGGAAACAACCAGGGGAGAGTGATGTTCTGCTTCATCTTTTGTATTAATGAAAACCGTGAATATCTAAGTGCGTGTGTTTAAACTAATTTTGTTTTGTTTTTACTGGTACCTTTTTATGTACACATGTTTTACCACCTAAGGAATTAGATGTCTTAAGCCCCCATATGATGTGCTGTTATAAGTTGAATTTAATGTACATTTTGTTTATATTTAGTTCTGCTACCAAAGAGATTGACTTATTGAAATGTTTTTGAAACATTTTAATGAACTCCTCAGCTTTAATGCCTTATTTCTCACTATACAAGCTCATATTGCTATGCCTCCTATTTGTTTGAATATCATCTCTAAACATTATTGCTGGTGCAGAAATTATATGGTAACTATGTTCTATTTTAGGGGGGGAAAGCAATCAATATTACAACAGACAGGGATGGTTATTGATGGGAGAAAGGAGGATGAGAAATAGGAACTGTACCAACTCTCTCATACCTTTGAGGACTTCATGAACTTTTTCAAAAGGCTGCAAGAACTATACCAACAGTGACATGACATTTTGAAATCTGTCAGTTACTTTATAGAGGAGGAACCTCTGACTAAATCATTTTCTCTCAGACACATGAAAGCCGAGTCCACAGATCCTTCCATCAGCGAATAGTTCAAATGTAGTTCAAATGCTTTCCTCGCAAACTTTTCCTTAATGGAGAAGTCAGTGATCTTTACTTGGAACAGATTGAATCTGTGAATATTGATGCTGAAAGCCTGATGAATGTGATTGAACAGCCCCTACTTGATGCTGAAACCCTGATGAATGTGATTGAACACCCACTACTGACTAAGGGCACAAATGTTGGAAACAACGTTTGTTTTGATCAATATAACACTATGGGTGGTGGGAGCAAATTGGAAAAAAAATTAAAAGTATGTTTTTAAAGATAGAAATACTGGTCATGGCTTCCTTTTAGTTTTTGTCCAATGAATTAAAAGTCAACGCAAATGTTAAGTAGTAAAAGAAATGTAAGATCCCTGGTATACATTGTACTTTTAACAATGCTTATGATCAATATCAATAAAATAAAATAAAAGTTATAATATGTAACTTGATATTTGTTAACTTCGCTCGATTTTACTGTGTCCAACATTTGATATTAAATCTTGTGTGATATATGAGAGGGATAGCACACAAGATTGTATCAATGTCAATGAAAGCAATTATTTCTTAAGTTTTCAACCATATTTCTTGAAACTTCATTTCTAAATTTCATACATCAATTGTTCAAGACAGTTTTAAGGTCAATTTCATTCAGTCAAGGTGAAGGCTACAGCTTCACAACCTGTTCATGTACATGTGACAGAGAAATTGTCAGTGCATTCCTAACTAAGTATTCAAACCAAATTTTATAAACCTTGATCCATCATTCTCAACATTAAATCATGCACTACCTGTTTGCATATACACAAGCAACCTCAACTTTCAATAAGTCCTGTTGTCAACATTTGTTGCACAATGCTATCAGTTCTGAAACCAACAATCATGACAACTGTAATAACATAGTATGTGTTCTAGCTGGTACATTTGCAGTACTCTTTTGAAATGTATTTGAAATTAATATGTGCATCTTATTTCAAATGCTAGCCTATGAAGATGATAAAGCTGA